ATACTATATACTTATCGCGGGAGCATGGTTTTATTATGATTTTTGAGCGCCAGGTGGCCGCATTTTTGTTGTCGATTTACTGTCGACGGCGCGGGGCGGCACGGCTCCTTCAGCGCCATTACATCGATAAATGTCATCGCGGAAGCCAGCAACGTAAAGCACCGAGAATTTCTGACAACTGTCCACCTGGTCCTTATATTGCTTACCACTCGCGTAAGAAAAAGAGCAGGTGGAGAGTGGAGGAAAGATCGCGCAACGCCTATTCCAGACACGGACACGACGCGTCCCGGTCGCACGACTGGCACGACTGCGACGATGTCGACCAAGCGAAAAGCCGCGAGCGGCAAAGCGAAGAACCGTCCCAAGTCGCGCAAAGTGGAATACGACGAGGAAGATATTTCTAGCGAGCACGACTCGGAGGTCGACGACGCTGAAGCCGGCTCCAACGCCGACGGCGAAGACGCCGCAGCCGAGGACGCACTTGCGGACGTTTCGAACATGCCTGAACTGCCGGCCCCAGAGGTGAACTGATGCCTTCGTATCACTTTCCCTCGCACCCGCGCGAACGACGCGCAACACAGCGCGGATTGCGGATGGTCTATTATTTGAAATAAATAAGAATCAATTGTTCCTTATTAACAATCGCTATTATAATATCTTCCAATATTGAAATATGAATTTAAACAAATACATACGTAAATATCGAAGTGCATTGTTAACATTTAAATTGCTTTTCAACTGTCGCGATCATTAATTTTCTACTTCTTTTTATATTCGCTCTCTAAACTTTGTTTAGAATTTAGATTGTTTTAAATATTATAGAATTTGTTAAATCAGAAAAAAAAATTAATCCTTTGATCAATATTTTGTTGCTTATTAAATTTCGTACATGTGTAAAATTTATATGGAACTTTATAGAAGTTTATATGAATATTAAATGAAATAGATAAATATGCAAGGAAAATAATTGTAAGTTTGTCTTATCTGAATTTCTTGCACAATTCATCTTTCTTCCTTTTCTCTCCATATTAGAGAAAAGAAAAAAAGATGAATTGTGTAAGAAGTTCAGCTAAAAAGAACAGGCTTCATGAAATCTGTTTCGCTGAAATCTATTGATATTATAGGGTGGATGGGGCAAGCCTGGAACATTGCTCATGTGTGGCCTTACTAATTGGGAAATGGCTGGTCGCAAGGCACCGCCTAAAGGAGTAAAAGCAAATGTAGGACGTAGCCTGTGGACGCCTCATACTTTTAAGAACTTGAATGACGCAAAAGTACGACTAATCGCGTCTGGTCCTGCTGCATCCCACAGCATTATCGTCACTGAGGATAATAGATGTTTGGCTTTTGGTAGAAATGATAAAGGTAAGGGATGCGTGTCTATATATGATAACTGTATATCATATTGTTTTCTTTTTCCCATTGAAATATGCATTCCCAAAGCGGGCTATTATTCACATTTTGGATTTCAATCACAAACTTGCAACCTCTTATAAAATCAAAGCGTCTAAAACAAGAGTCAGGATCAAGTTCAGAATCTGCTGACAAATCAACCGTTTTCATTCACGCATCGCCTCTTGTCATAATTACTATTTTATTTACTATTGAAACTTAACACTTGCAAGTATATCTATATAGATTTCCATACTATACAAGATGAGTTTCAATAAAACTTTGTATTCAATGTCGTAGAAACATTAAAGTTTGACCAATAAATAATATGACCAATATATAATATCATCTAATTATATTTAAATTTGTATATATTACATCGCTGGTTTTATTCTATCGATAGTATTGCTGAGACCGAACAATTTGCGTAGGTCAATTGGGTGTCGGAGACACAAAGCGTCGTGATGAGCCAACCGAGGTTGAAGCTTTAAAGGGACACACGGTTATAGGAGCATCATGCGGACGCAATCATACTTTATTTTTAACCAGCCGTGGGATAGTTTTTGCTGCTGGCGACAATAAATTGGGCCAATGTGGGATTGGGAAAAACGATCCCTGTGTTGTAACTGCCACCAAAGTGAAGTATTCCGGACCGCCGATAGTGAAAGTAGGATGCGGTGCAGAGTTCTCGATGATTTTAGATATCAAGGGTGGTCTGCACTCATTCGGATGCCCAGAGTATGGCGCTCTAGGTCATAACACTGACGGCAAATATTTCATCACGAATACAAAAATGGCATTTCATTATGAGAAAGTACCTAAGCGAATCGTTTTATACGTCGAAAGGGGTAAAGATGGCCATGCGACGCCGTTGGATCGCGTTGAGATCACCGATTTCAGCTGCGGTCACTATCACACAGTCGCAATTGACAGCAAGAACCGTGCGTTCTCCTGGGGATTCGGTGGAATTGGCCGTCTAGGTCACAACGAGCAACGCGACGAGTTGGTACCGCGTCTAATCAAATTTCTGGAACCACCCAATCGCGGTGTCCGTGCGGTGTACTGCGGCAGCACATATAGCATCGCGATCAACGTACATGGCTCTGCCCTGATGTTTGGTCAGACTAAGCGTACCGGCGAGGCCAATATGTATCCCAAGCCTATCCAAGATCTATCTGGTTGGGAGATTCGATGCGTCGGTTGTTCGCAGACGAGCGTAGTAGTCGCGGCCGACGACTCCGTTATCGCCTGGGGCGCCAGTCCTACGTTTGGAGAATTGGTAAGATATTGATGTTTTTTAAAAATATATTTAGAATATCTCAATTTTCTTTGATAGAGTTATAATTTAAATCGAATCATGAAAATACTGCAGTCCTACACGGATCTTCTTCATTAATTTCGTTGTAATTTGTAATATTTATGGAAAGGGATTGTTTTAACCAACCTCCATTTTAAACCTATTTTAGACTTATTTTAAATTTAAAACCTTTATTATTTATTTATTTGGAAATTTCTGACCTCTGAAGAAAGTCTCAATATTATAATTAGTTCCTTTTGAAAAGTTCGTGTCTATATTTTTATCAAAATATTTTCTTAATATGTATTAATATAAATCATATGCAAGATAACAATTTCATGAATCAAAATCAAATCTTGAAGAAATTGCTCTAACATCCAATTTTTCAGCATGCAAAACCATAGTCACATAAATCACATTAATTAAATGATTTTCAAGATGATAATTTTTCTCCTAGGGTTTTGGTGAAATGCGAAAGTCATCGACGACTCCGATGGAGGTGAAAGCCTTGGAAGGTTTATACATTACTGCCGTTACATGTGGTCTATCTCACACGCTTATGATCTGCCGAGATGATACTGAAGAAGAAAGAGCCAAGATTAATAAGCTCCAAGTTTATTCTGTTTAAAGTATATTCTTCGACTGCGTAAATGGGTCTCTATTGAGTCATTCTACAGATGATCGAATCGGAAGGAAAATTCTCGTTCCTTCAACGAATCACAGCTACGTTTTGATGAATTTTATAATAAGATATTCGAGACCGATAAC